TTAAGGGTAATACTCTATGCTTCTTGTCTCCTGATAAAACAGAGGTCTCCAACCTTTCTCAGTTGGCAGACTGGAGGGAAAGGGAGGGGCCATGAGCGTGCACGATGCAAATGGGGCGGTGCTAGTGCCTGCATGACACTCGTTAGTGCCGCCCTGTTTTTGCCACACAGCACTCTGTTTTCACCACGGTGCCCTGTTTCCACTGCATAGTGCCCCGTTTTCACTGTGCGGCACCCTGTTTGCATAGCGGAGGCACGCGTGCAAGTGGGGGTAAATGCACGCACATGTGTGTATGTGTGCGCACTGACCAGCTGTCCTGCGGTCAAGTGGCCAGCAGGCCATGGCCCGGTAGTGGGCCATGGCTCACAGATTGGGGACTCCTGTGATAAAATATTGTTAGGATGAGCAAAGCTATCTCAGTCATGAGCCCAGATCTGTATTTAGATAGAAGTAGATTTATACAATTTGCTTTAACCCAAAATATCTAATATCATATCTATGCCACCTTGGTTCAGAGAAGATATTAGCAATTATGTAGCAGCTTTCCAAATCTCCTATAACCAAAGAAAACTTATTGAGAAGAAATAACCTAGTCATTTTCTTCCAAGCAGCCACTATCACCATTTAAAATAGGGACTGCTGTATAGTATCTCTCGCCTAGATGTATCCATACAGAGTTACTAAGAGACTGGTGCCATCTAGATTTCAGTTCTCATTTTATTTGTTTTATAAATTTTAGCCCTTTGGTAAATCAAATAATTAATTGAGCCCAAGTATGACTTCTACAGAAATATTTTATATTTGATTGAACATAATAGATTGAAGGAATAAAACAGAAGGGAATCCAGATGACAGCTCTTAGAATGAAAAAAAAATGCATTAAATTAGAAAAGGCAGTCAGCAAGGTGAGTAGCAAACTTCAGTCAGGCCCCTAGAAATCAAATCAAACAACTTGTAAGAAACATCAAATTAAAGAAACTAGAACTTTGTTTATGAAATGAAACCTTTGTTTATAGAAACTAGACCTTTGTTTCTTCATGATTAAAGAAACTAGACCTTTGTTTATGAACAAAAGCTCTTTTGACTGAAAGTACTTATTGCACTGGGTTTTTATTTAATGGCAACTGAAATAATTATTCTTATTTAGGTTGGGAGAGATGCTGCTATTCACATTTGGGATATACAGATGCTCAAATGTTTGTCATTGCTAAGAGGCCAGCATCAAAGGGGAATATGTGCACTTGACTTTTCAGGTAAGCTGCTATGTAATGAATGTTGCTTTAGAATGGGAAATAATGTTTCTTAATTATATGGTAACTCAAATAATTTTTGTCCGTAAAAGATCATATCCCTCTCCTCTCATCTTCCAAGATAGCATTCCAAAATACTCAAAGTAAAACTTTTTTCTGAATTAGCAAGCAGAATCTTTTTCTTCAAATGCATGAAGCTACTCTAGCTTCCCAGACAAATTCTACCTAGTAACCATGCAGCAAGGCTTGTTGTGATCTGTCCATAGATCACATTTTTTATTTAAAACTATGGGGGGGGGGTGTTCCCCTGATTTTCACTTATAGGAAGCATTCAGTTCTATTAAGTGGGGTTAAGCCTCTGTCACAAAACATAACAAGACCATCACTTTCCAATATATCAAGCTCACAACTGTGGGGTTCTTAGCTTCATATCTGTGGGCACCATTCCTTGACTTGATTTCTCACCTAAACTTCATGTGTGTGTCTGTGTATATGAAAGGGCAGAACTGGCAATGGCAGCCATAATGTTTTCATATTGGCTCTCCAATTATGAAAAAATTGGGGCTCTCTGTCATAGGCAACTGTTAAGTCATTTTCTAGAATAATTATAGTTAGGAGAAGAAGGAGGAAGAAATAAATACAAATTAAGTCATTGTGAAAGTTTGATTATTGTAGAAATCCAACTTGCTTATTCCTGGCACCATAACATAGAAATTTGCAATGAATATTACATTTGTCACATTTCATTTCAAGATATCTCATTATGAACTATGAATTGGTTTTGTACAGCTGATGGGAAATGCTTAGCTTCAATTGGATTAGATGACAATCATACCATTGTACTGTGGGACTGGAAAAAAGGAGAAAAGATGGCAGTAACCAGGTAAGAATACTATCATATTGCATCCATTGTTGTACATATTTTATATAATGTAAGTATTCTATGATGCTGTTCCAGGAGTTTTTTTTAAAAAAACAACATATTGTTGACCAATATAGAAAGAGAGATGATGATGACATCAATTATTCCAGTTATGCCTTTGTAGCAGTTCTTCCTCCCGTCCTTCAAAACCATTCCCTTTTCCCTCAGCAGGTGTCAAGAAAACAAAATGCACTTGTTCATGTAGCCAAGAAAGTCTTACATTTATGACAACTTTTGAAATGATTGTAGTTTTCCTGTGCTGTTACTGTACTTTTTATGCTTCAGTTCAGCATAACTTTTAATCAGTGTTTAACCTATAGCATTAGAAGTGTCCAGTGCTTTTTTTATTATAAAAAAAAAGGTGCCGGAACTCACACATGTCATACAACCCACCTTGCCTACCCTACAAGGTTCCATCCAAAAAAGGTGCCAGAACTCTGTTCTGGGCATACTATGACAAAAAAAAGCCCTGGAAGTGTCCATCCAGATATCAATTATTAAAAAAAAATAGTCTCAAATGGTTCTGCAGAGAAAATACTTAGATTTTGGGAGACTGAACTGAATCACAAAGCACAAATCTAGCAACTGGAAATGGCCGCTTATTCTCCTAGTTCTCCTACAATGGCTGTACTATAGGTAACACCTACCATTTGCTCATACAGTACTAGAAATGTAAATGATGAACAACTTTGCAATTGTTTACTGTCCATTTTATATGTAGCACTAAATTGTGTAATAAATAGTATCTAACAGCACTGCATTCATTAATAAGTTTTCAGCAATAATTGTATAGGGAAAAATACCAGAATAACTGTGTGTCAGAAATTATAGGGTCTTTAAACCTTTCAGTGATTATGGAACTGATCTGTGATATACTGTGGTTCCCTTCCTTATGCATCTCATTGAAATCTGCCCCTGCTGTTTGGGGAACTATTTGAAAGAATCTAAGTCACAGTACAAGGAGAAACTGAGCAAACTGAGACATAATGAAAATTATTGTGCCCTTTCTTATAGTATACAACTGTAACATGGCATCTAAATTACTGTGGCATTCAAAAATTACTTTGCTGTTTCTTGAGTCAAAATCATTTAAATCAAACTATTCTACATTTGTTCTTTTGTTGAATTCAGTGGTGTATTAAAGGGGAAGACTATTCTCTGAGAATATTTGCCATGCAGTTTTTGTGATATAAATGCATTTGCAAATCATTTTTTCTTTCTGTTAAATCACTTTTGTGCCCCAGGTTTATCTCTTTTTTTCACCCTAATCTTGAATAAACATTTCCTTAGCATTCTTTGATTTCATTTACTTTTGGAAGCTTAATAGTTTGCCTAGTAATTGCATGCATGAACAAAGCATTTGGGAAAAACTGGGTCATGTATTTCATTGGTTTTCTAATGGATGTGTTCTCTTTTTAGGAAGTAGCATTTTTCTTTTTTATATGAGTCTGTGGCAGTTTCTAATATTCTAATATGCAGTATAGGAGGCTGTCTTTTAACTGAGACTGCTTAAATTTTTAATAGCTTCTTATTTATTGCCTGATGGATTAAAAGTGATACTCAGTTAGGTCTCTTAAATAATGTGTCCTGTGTCACATTTCTGATAATATGTCTTGACCTTATTCAAATAGACCTGTATATCTGTACATTACAAGTTATTTATTAATGGATTTCTGCTGTTGATATGATATATAAAATTAGATTCCCTAACTTTTCACTTGGGAATCTCTGTTCCTCTGATGTTTAGATGCATTTAGTGTATCAGTCGGAGACGTTCCAAGCACTGGCTGTTATAGCTTCTCACCTCCAAAATAGTTGGCTAACAATTGCATCCAATGAGTATATTAAAAAACATTTTTAATCAAATCACAAAATCAGATAATGTCATATAAATATAAACTTTACAATATTAAGTATGGTAAAATTATTCCATCATAATATAATTGAAAGTATACTCAATACATTCTTATAACGATTTAATCCAGTTTGTGTAGTGAGTTATGCAATTGGACAGTGGTGGGATTCAAATATGTGAACTAACAAAATATTAGCTACCGGATCTGCCGAAGTGGTGTGAACTGGCTGAATCCCACCACTGCAATTGGACCTCTTTGCAAATAAGCAATAAATTATTCAAAAGAATGTCAATGAATCAGTCCCTGATTAGTTTCCTAATTCCTGTTCAACATGCAGATTAAGATTTTGATAAAATTAATTGGATATGAGAGCATGAATTGAATTCAGCACTCCTTCACTGAACCACATCTCTACTAACACATCAGTATGTAACTATGTACTTTCCCGTTTACTAATTTTATTATTTAGATAAAAATAACAAGACTGGATAGATTTAACTAAGGAATGATACCTTCAAAACTTTACTACACAATTAAAATAAAACTGATTCATTTGTATGAGAATCTTACTGTATAAACTGGATTTGATGAGGATTACTATGTCATTTATTATATTGATCATATTAAGAGAAATCTCTGTTAATTCTATTGTTTGTTAAAAGTTCTAATGGTGATAGAACTATTTGAACTTTTTAACCCCCACAATTAGTCAAAACAGCTTTTAATTTGTAGTTTTAAATCCTTCTGTATCAAAATCATTAATAATATATAAGTGAAAATGCTAAATGTCTCCTCTATTTTGTTCAGTAATAGCACTGTAAGACATGGTTACTACTGTTAAAGGATCCACATCCTCTTTTTTTAAAAAAATAGGATGTTACTATCACAATAGTACAAAAAAACCCTATTCATTTATACTTTATTTTTTAATGTGATGCAGGGGTCACAAAGATAAGCTCTTTGTAGTGAAGTGCAACCCTCATCATGCTGATAAACTGGTGACTGTTGGAATAAAGCACATCAAATTTTGGCAACAAACAGGTAGTAGAATTTATCTTATTTCTTCACCAAAAAGTTGATTCAGATAGTTTAGTTTCATTACAGACACAGCAAAATTTTCCCATGAGTATTTTGTTTTTTACCATTCTTGCTTGAAGACTTATATACTTGATATACAGCTAAATGTCTTGCTGATGTTTTGATTTATGGTGAGGGCTTGAATCTTTCAGGAGCAAAAAAATGGGGGGGAAAGAAAAATTAGTGGGATATGAAGGAAATTTTTAGTAGCCCTTGGTTCTATTCTTAATGGAGGACTGGATGTGGCAATCCAATAGTAAAGTTAGGGCTAGGGTTAGGGTTAGTAAATGCATCTAGAATTGCTTTGAAATGAGATGGGTGGCAAATAAATTTAACAATAATAATAATAAAGTTTATTTATAATTTAAATTAATAATTAGAGATAGACAGACAGACAATTGGAGAATCAGTTTGGTCTAGTGATCAAAGCACCAGGCTTGAAAGCAGGAGACCGTGAGTTCAAGCCCCGCTTTAGCTACGAAGTCCAGCTAAGTGACTTTTGGCCAGTTCTCTCTGCAGCCCAACCCACCTTACAAGGTTGTCGTGGGGAAAACAGAAGGAGGAAATTGTGTTGAATATATTCGCCACCTTGAATTATATGTAAAAATTATAAAGTTCAGGATATATATATAAAGTTGGGCTCTGCAATTAGGACTAGATGAAAGGACTCTAGGCATCTACCCATTCCATTTTATATGGATCACAAAAATGCCCTGGAAGCATGATATCAGATTTTGGCAGTCAATTTCCTGTGATGCAGATATTAGTAATTTTTTCCTCCAAAAAATAAGAGCACTGTAATAATGTTTATGCTGAATTAATTTATTTTGTCTTTGGAAAAACCCAGACACCCCGAACCATAAATCATCCTTTATTTTGAAGATGTGATCATATTATTGTTGTATCCTCTGCAGCTCAGAAAAACCAAAAATATTGTAAAAAAATAAATAATGCCTCCCCCCAGTAATGGATGATATAATTATACTTGGCAATTTCCCACATATTCTGCCTACCAACTTGTAACATTGTTTCCTTCAAAATATGCAATTCAAACATACTAGGATTTTCTTTGTCTACACCCCCCCCCCACTTTTTGTTTTCCCCTATCGGTTTTTAATAATAGATAATTGAAATTTATATAGTCCTTGATAACAATCCTTATTGATCTATCATGACTATCCAGGTGGTGGTTTTACCTCAAAACGTGGCATGTTTGGAAATATTGGGAAACAGGAAACCATGATGAGTATTTCCTATGGACGGATAGAGGATCTCGTTTTCTCTGGATCTGCAACTGGAGATATTTACATCTGGAAAGATGTTTTGTTGGTTAAGACAGTAAAATCTCACGATGGGCCTGTATTTGCTATGCATGCTTTAGATAAGGTAAAAATTGTCTTGTCATGCAACTCTGTAAATCAGCTGCATCTTTTCATGGGATTGTGTAGCTATTTCCAGCCACTGCAGTGTTAGCTCAGGAAACAAAATATTTTGTTTAAGGAGTTGCACACAGGTTTTATGTATGTTCTAAAGCAGAGGTCCCCAACCGGTTCCGTGGAGAAAGGTTTTTCCATGGACCAGAGAGTGCATGCTTTTGTGTGCTGCCTGCATCCCATGGATGGGGCTTTGCTTGGTTGTGCAGACCAGTTGCTGTAGCCCGGTATCAGTCCACGGACCAGAGGTTGGGGACCTCTGCTCTAAAGCACCATTTTGCCTACAAAACTGAATTGCCACAGAGCTTAAGTATGCATACATAGTTTGTGTAAATTTTGGCTTTAAATACCCCAGAATGGTATTTGAATTGGATAAGTGCTATAAATTTCTCATCCTTGTTTCTAGTAAGACAATTTAGGATAGATGGGTTACTTAGTTGTTGCATTTGAAACTAAATAAATGCTCCTTTGAACGTGAAAATAGTAATCTTAATTAATGTAGCCACTAGACACAATGTATTACCTATGATTTTACCTATTTTTTCCCATTCTTTCAATATTTGATGTTCAGATTGAATACCATAGCCAAAAGAGCAACATTCAGAGACAGGAGGCAAATATCAGCAAGCTTGGGGAGACAAAATTGGCAGAAGCATATGAATAAATATGTTTCATTTTGTAATTCAGTGACATTAATTTTTTTACCACCTAACTTTATATTGTCAATGCATTAAGCAGATTTATAAATCTGTTTCTGTACAGGGCTTCGTGACAGGTGGGAAGGATGGTGTTGTGGCACTTTGGGATGATACATTTGAGAGATGCTTGAAGACATATGCCATCAAAAGAGCAGCTCTCTCACCTGGGTCTAAAGGTATAACTGCTCTAAGTTGCAATAGGCAGGAATAAAGGCTCCTTATAATAAAACATATGAAGAGACATTGCAAAATTCTAGTAAATCTGTAATAACCTCTTTCAAGGCCACCAGCTTTGCACTGTTCTATAAAGTGAATCTGGAGGTTACTGGCAGATGGCTGATTTGCTTAAGTTTGGGAGTGATTACCAATCATTTATGCTACAGCCCATTAGGAATAATCACCTAATTATGTGAAGACTGAAAGGTAAGAAGTCCGTGGAAATTATGCTATAGCTTTTTGACATAAGTAGTGTCATGAAAATAAAGAGCAAGAGGTAACAAGGAATCAAAGGCAGGAGATGAAAGAAAAGAAATCTAATTAAATCTAATTTATAGCAACACTATTATACCTCTTCATACCTTTCTATTCTTGTAAATTATATATGCTTCCTCTGCAAACATATGCTGCATTATTTTCTTTAAATATTATGAGAACGTCATCAACTTCTTCCAACAACTTCCTTGGCCTTCCTCTTCCTCTTCCTCTTGAACCATTCATTCTTTTCTTCATATATTTGTTTTGCAATTTAGTCCTCGTTCATTCTCACTATAAAATCAAACAACCTAAAGATACTTATTTTGCACTGATCCTTCATTTTTTGTTCAATTAATGTTTATTAAGAATTCATTTATTCTTAAAACAATCTCTTCTTATTTGTCTGGAACAGTGTTTGGCAGAATTCTGATTGAAAGGATACAAGAGATTATAAGGACTAAAATTTGAGAAGTGCAATTCAACTTTAGCTGTTGATCCTCAACAGGTTGTTAAGATATATACGAATGTAAGAAAGAAAATGTACTGTATGTCTACTGATGTAAAGAATACAGGTAGTCCTCGACTTACAACAGTTTGTTTAGTGACCATTCAATGTTACAACAGCACTGAAAACTGTTAATTTTTCACAGTTACAACCTCTGCAGCATCCCCATGATCATGTGAACAAAATTCAGATGCTTGGCAACTGGTTCATGACCATTGCAGTGTCCTGGGATCATGTGATCATCTTTTGCAACCTTCTGACAAGCAAAGCCAACGGGGAAGCCAGATTCACTTAACAACTAGATTACTAACTTATCAACTACAGTGATTCACTTAACTACTTAACTACTGTGGCAGAAGGGTCATAAAATGGGGCAAAACCCGCTTAACAAATGTCTCACTTAACAACAGAAATTTTGGACTGAATTGTGGTTGTAAGTAAAGGACTACCTATATACAAGATAGTGAGTTAGTGTTGAATTATGAAATGTTTTGTATGTATGTATGATACCAGTGATATATAAAGGAACTAAAGCATGAATGAGAATCAGTGCAATGCTTAGCAAATGGGTCAAAACTGAGGTTATATGAGGTTTAATGTAGTTACATATAAATGTGACATTAGAGGTGTGTTAGTTACAGATAATCAATATGTAGACACTTGTATACATGATTTTCATATTGTTAGATGAGAACCTAAATAGTTCTCATGATTTGCAAAGAATGTTAGATTGATGGATTTTTTTTCTTTTTGTTGTTAGTATTGGATGTTTGTTAGATTGTTTTTTCTTCTTCTTTTTCTTTTCTTTGTTTTGTATTTTATCTTTGGTGATATAAAATAAATAAACATGCTTAAAATTGTTAGATTGATGATGTAATGAGAAATATGGATCTGAAAATTGAGGTATCAAAGATGAAGGTTGTTTTGCTTGACATAGAAAATAGAATAAACAATTGCAAGTTACAATCACTAGGTGAGTTAATGCAGAGTTCCCTAACTTTTCGGGGTTGGTGGCTCAGAGTGGGGGGAGGGAAAAAAGGGATGGTTTTGGGGGGGTTGAATGCATGTTCTCCAATTGCTCATGCAAGTGGGGCCGGGAGCGCTCACATAAGTGGGGCTACAAGCGCCCGTGCAAGTGGGTCCACGAACACCTGCGGTGCTCACAGCAACCCACAGTGCTTGCACAAGTGGGACTGCAAACACCCATGATGCTTATGGCGACACTCATGCAAGTGGGGCCATGAACACTTGCGATACGGTGACACACAAGTGGGGCTGTGTGTGCATGCGGACTGGCCACCCATTCATGCCACCTGGTGGCCAATGGGCCACAGTCCAGTAGTGGGCCACGGCCCACAAATTGGGGACCCCTGAATTTAATGTACTTAATTATTTACTTAATAATGTAAATTTAGAATAGAATAGAATAGAATAGAATAGAATAGAATAGAATAGAATAGAATAGAATAGAATAGAATAGAATAGAAGGGACCTTGGAGGTCTTGTAGTCCAACCCCCGCTCAAGCAGAAGAATCTATACCATCCCAGACAAGTGACTGTCTAGCCTCTTCTTAAAAATCTCCAGTGATGGAGCACCCACGATTTCTGGAGGCAAGCTGTTCCACTGGTTAATTGTCCTCACTGTCAGGAAGTTTCTCTTTAATTCCAGGTTGCTTCTCTCATTGAAAATGAAGAAATGATTGAGGAATTTTAAAACATAAAACATTTTATATCAATATAAAATGAACACAGAATGAGATATTTAAGAAGTGCAGATGGGAAAACAAAAAAAGATAATTTGAAGAATGAATGAGCGTTGAACCATATTTTTTATTATTTGATTAGTAATAAATATAAAATTTGAAATATAAGATTTATTGTTTTGAGATATGAACATTCTGTAATATAGTGGTGACTAGTATATTTGTCCTGTTTATAACAAAACAAATATATGAAAAATGAATAGGAAAAGAAAGACTAAAAACTCATGGTTGGATAGAGTTAATGAGATTCCCCCAAAAAAGAGTAGTGAAAAGTTTTTTAAAAACAGTATTCAAACCAGTATATGAACATTGTAGAAACAAGGATGATTTCCATGTTAGAAACATATGAAGAAATATAGTGAATGATATTGGTATAAATTAGATTTAGCCATATTTCCTTTTCTCTTTTCTTTCTTATGCCTTTAATATTGTGGCTTACTATTTCTTACCCTTTTTCCGCCCTTTTCATATTGATGCTTATCATGAAAGGCAATAGCATAATGAGTATTTATGTAAGTATTCAATATGTTATTCGTTTTATGTAAACTTTCATGGAGATAACTTGTAGTGCAAAATTGCAGCAATACAATCAAATAAATTCATGCTATCATATGGAACTTCATTGCTGCATAATATATTAAGGCCTTCAATTTAATATATTACTAATAATTTATGCTCAAACTTAAATTTTAGACATTAATGTACTTGGAAAAAATAAATAATGTAGTTCCACACTGTATGAACTCCTAAAAGAGACAGAAACACCATTCCCATTTGACCATGGTCCTATGTGATGGCTTTGGGACTGGCAATATCTTTCAGCTCAGCTTAAATCTATAAGTTATTGTGGGGATAAAATAAGGTGGTCTGCTGTGTTCACTGGAGCTACCACTAAGAAAACCTGGACTCTAATCGCTTTTTAAATGTATTGATTTATTTTATCTATATAGCTAATAGAAACAATAAAAATCATGGAAACCAGCATAAAAAATCCTGATTGTTCTCCCTCCCTCCAAAAGCAAGATATTCCTCACACCCAACAATCAACTTTTCTGAATTCCAACCACACACTACCCCAATGCTTGTGGGAAAAGTCAGGTCTTCGAGGTTTTTCAGGAGATTAGCTGGTTAGGGGCCTGCCAGGTCTCAGAAGGAAGGGTATTCCAAAGGGCAGGGGCCACTACCGAAAAGGCACACTATTTAGTTCTTGCTAGATGGCAACATTTAAGGAAAGGAACCTGGAGCACATCCATCCTGTTGGATGTGGTGTAGCAGGCAGATACCCTCAGAGAGAGGTGGTCCTGCAAATATTTTTTGTGCTTTATCTGGAATAGGGCTTCCAAAATGATCATAGGGCTCAGGTAGAAATGTGTGAAGAGTATTTCTTCAGATACTTCCAATTCAAACCATGAAAAGTTTTACAAATTAGGACAGGACTTAGAACTAAGTCTGGAACCAAGTAGAGTCAGTAAGAAGTAATGCTAACATAATATGATCACAATGCCTAGTTCTAATAAATAGGCCAGCTGCTGTATTTTGTAGTTTCTGAACTATCTTAAGACATTCCTCAATACATAGAATACACAGTAATAATATGTGTATGTGGCCCAAGTCTTATGTTACTATATGAATCACTTTAAAAATGTTTAACAAAAGATAATCTAAATCAAGATAAATTCTAGCAAATGAAAAGCTCTGTTAAAATTTAGAAAATTAAATGAATAAATGAATTAAATTAATTAAATTAATTAATTAATTAAATTAAATAAATAATCTATTTATTTTTCTTTCTGTCAGGGTTGCTGCTGGAAGATAATCCATCAATCCGTGCCATCATTTTAGGACATGGACATATACTGGTGGGAACAAAAAATGGAGAGATTCTTGAAATTGATAAAACCGGTCCCATGACTCTACTTGTGCAGGTATAATTGCTTATTTTATGTACCAAAAGCTATATCAAAGAGCATAACCAGCATTTCTACATTTGCTCTTAATTTAATTCATTTGCTACTTAATTTCACTGTAGCCTTCTGTACTTTTTTGCAGTTCAATTAATTTACCAAGGATGTTACCAGGATGTTATTGGATTGGATATTGTTTATGTATATTGACAAATAGATTTCCAAACTGTTAAGTTATGAAGTCCATCAGGTTTATGTTTAATAAGGGTGCTTGTTTGGACTAATTAATTGCTGTGACAGGAATGCAGAGAAAAATCAGAACAGTGCAGAAATATAGAAAATAGGTGTATGAATTATGACACCCTTAAAGAATGTACAAACACATATAAAAATATATACAGGAGCAGTGGTTACTACATTGTAAGTTTATGGATTTTTTAAGAGTAGCAAAATGCTATCTAGAAATCAGTCTTAGGTTGGAATTGGAAACAGTTGCACAGCATCTGCTTTTCTTTAGGAATATTTTCCCTATTTATAAACAGGGCCATATGGAAGGAGAGGTCTGGGGTCTGGCAGCACATCCCCTCTTGCCTATCTGTGCAACAGTGAGTGACGATAAAACTCTAAGGATCTGGGAGCTTTCCTCCCAACATCGTATGCTGGCAGTGCGAAAACTTAAAAAAGGTAACAATTTGTGACCATTTGTGACCTGGGAAGGCAGATACCAATAGAAGCTACTAGACACTATTTACACCAATGGATGATCAATCATTCTAAGATATTGAGAAACAGGAAGGAGTCTAGGATTGAAAAGTTAATGTTTTATGGGTTTGCTTATAAATAAGGAATGGGATATGGCAGTGGTGGCGAACCTATGGCACGGGTGCCAGAGGCGGCACTCAGAGCCCTCTCTGTGGGTACGTGCGCCGTCGCCCCAGTCCTAGGCCTTCAGCTGGGTTTTATAAAACCTTTTCACTTTAGGCCTCTGCCGCCATGTGCAAAAAAAAAAAAGGTTCAATCAGTCAATTTCAACTTCTCACGGGAAAAAAAAGATCTTGCAAAGTTGGAATTGATTGATTGAACTTTTTAGTCCCACCCAGTCTGCCATTACCACTGCAGCCACGCCCACCCAATTGGCCACACCCAGCCAATGGGCCATATCCACCCGGCACTCGACGATGCATAAGTGGGTTTTGGGTTGCAGTTTGGGCATTCAGTCTCTAAAAGGTTCGCCATCACTGGGATATGGGATGGAGAGATATCTGTTTAACTTTATTTTTTTATACTTGTGATGAATTTTGGAAATCATTTATTTTTATATTTTTCTTTTTCTTTATTCTTTATTATTTCTTTGTTTTTTTCTTTTTTCCTGCATTTTTTATTTTTTTATTTTCTTCTCTTTCTCTAATTTAGCTTGTATTAGTTTTTACTATTGTAAATAAAATTGTTAATAACAATTTTTTTAGCATGGGAACTTGATTATGACTCCATCATCACCACCATTTGTGTGCGGTGGGATTGAGGAGCTCTTTGTTGTCCCAAAATTTCACTCCCTGATCTCTAAGATTTAGCCACAGACTTTCTCTGAACTTGTTTAGGTGGACGATGCTGTGCCTTCTCCCCTGATGGGAAAGCCTTGGCAGTTGGATTGAATGATGGAAGCTTTCTGGTAGTGAATGCTGATACTTTGGAAGATATGCTTTCTTTCCATCACAGAAAAGAAATGATCTCTGACATCAAATTTTCTCGAGGTCAAAGTGAACTTTTTTTATTATTTTAAGATTTTTAAAATGAAAATGTTGAGGGAGGGCAAGGGATATTTATAAACATTAATATACAACATATACTATATATGTTTGTATGTGAGGTTAAATTTGCTTTCTTAAAGATACGTCAATCTATGATAAGACATTATTTCATGATACAGAGAAACTAAGCAAGCTTAAACAGCCATCTCTTACTCCATTAGCATGAGGGCAATCCACTCCCATTCTATAGTCCCAAAGGATCCATAGATTACAGTACCAAAATTTGGTAGCAGTGTAATGTAGCAAACTTTCACTGTAGTGTAGCAAAACAGGTATGTTAAAACCCTGCATTCATTTTGTAATTAAAACTACTTACCTTGATCTGAACATTTAAAAAGTATAAAGTACGCCCCTTCCATCATCCATAGGCTTAAAAATATTGTTTTTTTAAAAAAATAAAATGAGCTCTCAAGTAAAAAAAAGAAAATAAAAAGACCTGTTTCCATTTCTTAAACTATTTTCAGGCAATTTATGGACCTCCAAATGTTGTTAACATCATCTTTTGTCGCCCCAGCTTTGCTAAGGCTGAAGGATGCTGGGAACTGTAATTCAGCACCATACACAAAGCCCACTTTCTATACACCAATAACATACTCATTCTTCAAATGAGGCTCTTTCTACAACATCACCTATTTCTGTCCCAACATTTCTATGATAACATCACCACATATAGAAAAAGAATTAACTCCTTCTTTCTGCACCAGCCCCTATCCATAAAGACCCTCCACCTGAGATCCGGCAGGCCCTCGCTCTTTTAAATTTCCAGAAGGCCTTAGAAAGCTGGCTTTCTCCCAGGCTTTGGGATAGGGTGGGCTACAGCCCAGTATCAGGAAGGGTTGTTTTGGGGCAGCAGAAGTAGTTTCTTTTGGATGTTGGTTTTTATTGCTTTTTAGGTTCTCATTAGCACTGCTGTGAGCAGCCCAGAGTTATGGCACATGAGATGAATGTGTATATCAGTCTCATAAGTAAATAAATATTGGCAGACCTGAGGGAAACTGAGAGTTATAATAAAACTTGAAGAGTAAAAAAATTCTCATTGGTTCCTTTACTACAAGCTATACTCCATTACTTAGGCTTCTTTAACAAATTTTCACTCAATGTATTTTTGTCTTTTATAATGACAGTTTCTATCTCCCACTGTCATATTCCCTTCTAATATAAGCAGACATACAATGTTATAAGGAAGGCATAATAGCAGCAATAAATCTTATAACTTGGTCTCTAGAGCAAGAGATGTGACTGTGGTACTAAACTGATCTATTGGAGTCTCTCCATCTGCTTGCTGCTTTTTCCATAATATCTGATCTCAATTCCATAGAGATGTTTTGATGTATTCCTTGCAAATGCCTGGATTTGCTTGAATATATTTTTCAGATTCAGGAAAATACCTGGCGGTGGCTTCCCACGATAACTTTGTAGATATTTACAATGTACTTACCAGCAAAAGAGTTGGAATCTGCAAAGGAGCATCTAGCTATATCACACACATAGATTGGGATTCAAGAGGTAAAACACAGCAAAACAAAACATTTTATTTATTATAGGTCTCTTTGTGATTGATGAGCTCTTATAAGACTTCGAAACATTGTAGAAGATTGTGTATTTTCCTTGACTTGTGATGAGAAATAGAAAAGAGTAGTTCTATGACAGTTTTAAAATCTAAAACTGTAAAAATGCTCATCTATATTTCAGCTTATAGTAATCAGACTGGAGTTCTGTGGATTGTTTATTCTAAACAAAAGGCTATAATTAATAAAAAATGGATGAGTATGTCAAGGTTCTGACCAAGGTTCTGACCGATCCCAATGAAGTAAGCACAGCTGAGACATTCCAATTTCTAATGCAAAACTTTATTCAGCACATCATTTCGGCACAGATGAATAGAAAACCAGCTCCGGCTAATTGGCGTTAAAATTAGTATATTAAAAGTATTAAGTCTCCCTCCCCCCCCCAACAGTGTAGGTCACATTATCCAATTATCTGTCAGACAATTATTATGAGAGAGAGTTTCTTCAGGCCTCAGTAAACAGCTCTTGCATGACTTTGGTTCTCATGGCTTGGCAGTTTGATGTCTGAAGCCTGCATTCCATTCTTCCCCCCTCTCCCCCAATGTCTGTAGGCAAGCTAAGAAGCAGTGATAGATGAAAGCAACATAAGCATTCTTCGGCAGCTTGACAGACTATTTATTAAAATAATACAAGATAAAGAATGTACTCCTTATTTCCCCAAACTATGAAATAGGCTTGGCTTTGCCAGTTAATTAGTCAACTCTTGAATACCTTGTGTTCATCAGGCTTATAACTTGTCTCTTTTAAAAAACAACTGATTTTCCAACTATATGGTATATGAGCAATTATTTTATCACTATTAATAAGGAAAAACTTTAAAATGCAAAACTGAAAATATGGAGTGCAGATTCTTTAGGGCTCAATAGGACAGCGATTATCAGAGTTGTTTGTTGAAATGGATGGTTATAGAAATCAAATAAATAAATAGGTAGATAGCTAGGCAGGCATGCATGCATGCATTATAAGCATGTGTCTTCTGCTATAAATTTGCAGTACTCCTTCTCCCTCCAGTTTTTGTTTAAAATATAGAATGAAGCAAGGAGCATTGTCCATTGTTCTAAAAATGTTACTTTTAGTGTTACCATTGTCCCCTCTTGCTGACAGTCTTTATCTTCATAAGCCTTCAGCAGATAGCTTGTAGCCAAAAGTAAGTAAAAGTTCACCTTCTGTGTCAGAAAAATCTGTTGAGTCTAATTTCTGTAAACTCCTTCATGTTCAAGGGAAGCTACTACAAGTCAATTCTGGTGCCAAAGAACAATTCTTCTTTGAAGCTCCAAGAGGAAAGAGGCATATAATAAGATCCACAGAGGTAGGGAAAAATGAAAAGAATTTCTGTATTTTACATGTTATTTCACTACTGTCTGTTACAAAAATGTGCAGTTTGTTTTCTGCTTGGTATACTTTCTAAAGTGTGATAAAGGCTCTGTTTCATTCAATAACCCAACATATTTACATAAATACTGTATAGGTTTTTGTAGAGATGGGCTAAAGAACTCTTCCTCTTTTTTTTTACCATAATGCATTCATTTTATATCAACATGACTTTCTTCCTGCTAAGCATAATTGCATTAATCTGTAATTATCATTCAAGGCAGCGGCAGTATTTTAGTGTGGTAAGTGCATTTGAATATTGAAAGCATGCTGTAGGAATTCTCACTAAATGGCTACCATAGATAAGGGTCAATTTACAAAAATAACTAGACAAGTTTTAACTCAGGTGATAAAAAGCACCCTGCAAGTACCAAGGGATATATTTTTTTTCCTCTTATCTAATTTGTGGGGAAAAATCAATATTTCCTTATCACATGGAGACAAGCATTTGATGTACTATCAAGATATGTGGGCAATCATATTATGAAGTAGGGAATCTAAAAATCATATTGGACCATTCTGCTGTTAACTGGAGACCAGTTGTTTATGCAGTTTACAAGATATTGAAAAAAATAGTTCCATAAAATGTGCTTACAGTTTATAATGTTGGATTTTTAAAAAATGTTTGATTCCAGATTGAAATGATTGAATGGGATACCTGGACATGTGTTCTTGGTCCTACTTGTGAAGGAATTTGGCCAATGCATAGTGATGTCACTGTTATCAACGCAGCTTCCCTTACTAAAGATAACGCTCTTTTAGCTACAGGGGATGACTTTGGGTTTGTAAAATTCTTCAGATATCCAGTAAAGGTAATTGAAATATTTTTCAAACGTGACAATGAAAAAATTATGTATACCGAGGAAAAATAGAAAATAGGAATTTTATACATTTGGGATTGCTCAATTAAGCTTGATGGCTTTTATCTAAAGTATCTGTAAGGAAGAGCTAACCAGTGTACATGTACTCCGAGATAAAAATTTTAAAAAGGCAGTTTAATGGACAGAAGCATTCTGGTAATATGTTTTTAGTAAGAGTTGAGAATCTGGGTGAAGGGTTTATTTCTTCATTTGATAGTCAAAAATGTGTGAGAGAATCTCCTTGAGTATCAAAAAAATCAGTTTGGGCTATATTTATTTATTTGGCTTGATGCTGCCCAACTCCAACTGATATGGATGGCTGAAACTAAAAAGAAGGCAAATAACTGATTTGAATTTTACAGGAATTCCTACAGCATTATATGTAGTAATCAGTTTACAACCATTTGCTTAATGATAGTTCAAATTACTGAGAGTTTTAGAAAGGGTGCTTAATAGCCCGTAAAGCATGTCTGACGGTCACAAAATTTCACACCACCACCATCCTGTGGACATGTGATTATAATCTGGAGGCTTGGCAACCTGCTCACACAAGCACATTATTATCATGTGATCACACACTTGCAATATTCTCTGTCACCTTTCCCAGAAAGAAAGTCAATAGGGAAGCCAGCAGGGTTGGCTGCAAGTTGGGGCTGCCTGCTGAGAAGACTCTTCATGAAGGATTTCAGCTTCATACCTGCTTGGATTTCGGCAGCCTCTTAAATTTCTTAGAAACAGAACACATGGGTCCATATCAGGAAAAAGAGATCGCTGACCATATGATTTGCCTGTGTTACAGGGTCAGCATGCCAAGTTTAAGAAGTATGTGGGTCATAGTTCCCATGTCACCAATGTCCGGTGGTTACATAATGATTCTGTGCTATTGACAGTGGGTGGTGCTGACACTGCCCTGATGATCTGGACTCGAGAATTTGTTGGAACCCAGGAAAGCAAGCTAGTTGACAGTGAGGAATCAGATACTGATGCAGAAGAAGATGGAGGTAAAGACCCCTTGCTTTTGTCTATAAAAATAATTCTATACAGGAGGTCTGCTGAATAACTACAGCATTTTTGTACCTTGGGCAAAATTCCATTAATCTATTAGAACTGATTCATACATTTCTGTATACAAATATATATATATATATGAGTAATATAACATTACACTCATCTACAAACATTTAACAGTAACAGTAACTGATGTAGTAGATATATACTGTATAGTCTTATTTACAAATGGCTGCTACAGTGTGCATGGCAGTCTAAAAACATCATTTTAATTGAAAGTGGATTAGCATTCCAGCATGCTTTTCTACTATGTCAGGGAAAGCTGTGTGCAGCCTGAAGATATTCCTGCAAATAAATGTTATGTGACAGGCCAATGTTTCAAACATGCCAGCTTCATGTTGAATTTTATTTATTAAATACATGTTTTTGAATGAGTGAGATTGTGAGAGCTGGCAAGTACAAAGAAACATAACTGAAGTTCTAGTGATATCAGGAGATGAAATATTGCCTATCTCAGCACCACAGCGTTGGCATTGGAGAATACAGAAGAAGATCTTATTACAAGAAGCATATCATTTTCCTCCAAATTTCTCCATATTTGGGAATATCCCAGGTTATTTCAAAACATTTAAATAATTTTTCAATTGCCTCACATAAGTAATGAGTTTCATTACTTCACTGTAATTTTCCACTTTCTTTAAATACATTTACATATTACTTGTTGCTGGAAAAGGAAAAGAATCTTATCTTAAAAGCAAATAAGATCATGGAAACAAATTAATTGCAAATTAAGGTTTTTTTTTAAGAAATCACTTTTTCTGCAAATGTAATATTTTAAAGCTGTCAAAACACTGGCTCAGGATACCATAATCTGTATTTAAGTAATTCATATATAATTTCCACATTGAAAAATTGGAAGTTCTTAAACAAGTATTATTATTATTCTGCAGTGCCTGGAGGCTGTTAGGGGCTGGATGGGGAGCAATGGGTTGAAACTGAACCCCGGCAAGACCAAGAGGCTCTGGGTTTGGGGTTTTTTGGCCTATGAAGAATTGCCACCTTTGGTCTTGGATGGGGTGGCATTGCCCCAAACAGACTCTGTGCGTAATCTGGGGGTACTCCTGAACTCACAACTCCTGCTCAAAGAGCAGGTGGCAGTCATGGCCAGGAGGGCCTTTGCACAACTGCAGATTGTGCACCAGTTACACCCTTTCCTGGACCAACAATCCCTACTCAAAGTCACTCATGCCCTAGTCACCCCTCATCTTGACTATTGCAACGTGCTAAACATAGGGCTGACCCTGAAGAGCATCTGGAAGCTCCAGTTGGTGCAAAATGCAGCAATCCACATGTTTTTGTGCATATCTCGGTGTGCACGTGTGTCACCTCTCCTGCGGGAACTGCATTGGTTGCCGATTTGCTTCCAGGTGCAATTCAAGGTGCTGGTTGTCATGTTTAAAGCCCTTTGTGGCTTTATTTGAGGGACTGTCTCTTGTCGGTCACATCTACCTGACCCACTAGAGTGGGGAAGCAAGGAATGTTGCAGGTCCTGTCCCCTAAGAAGATACATCTGGCGGGACCCAGAAGAAGGGCCTTCTCCGTGGTGGCTCCCTCTCTCTGGAACATCATTCCCCCAGAGATTAGACTGGCCCCCACTCTAACTCTCTTTCAGAAGGTGCTGAAGACCTGGTTCTGCCAGCAGGCCTGGGGAACCCAGAGCAGGATGGAGCCAATTAAATGGCTAGTATGAATGTGTGTTGTCGCTGGGGAGTGTGTGTTATTATTTTATTATTTATTATTATTATAATTTTTATTTCTTTTATATGGTGTTTTTATATCCATGTAAGCTGCCTTGAGTCGTCATGTGCTAGTAGGCGGCAATATAAATTGTCTAAATAAAATAAATAAATGATTTATTTCACACTTATCAAAGGTTATGACAGTGATGTTGCACGAGAAAAAGCAATTGATTACACTACAAAGATCTATGCAGTGAGCATCCGAGAGATGGAAGGCACAAAGCCACACCAACAATTAAAGGAAGTTTCAGTAGAAGAAAGGTATGTTATGGGGAATGCCTCCTTGGGGGCAACGAGTCAAGAAGTGCATTTGGGAAAAAGATACACACTTCAGGAAACACCTTTAAATCGGTGTTGAGCAAATGCCTATACTAGCCCCTATAATCTTGGCAAGATTTCAGAAGTAGTTTGCCATTGCCTGCTTCCTAGAACTGAGAACATGTAAGTGACCCAAGATCACCCAGCTGGTTAATATGGCTGAGGCAAGTCTAGAATTCACAGTTTCTAGCTTGGTGCCTTAACCACTACTATTCCATTTAATAGTCTTCAGAAAACCTGTACTAATGCTTCCACAATACTCTGAATCAGAGTTCATTTCCTCTTCCCAAGTATTTCAAGATAGTATGTTCAGAGTGCTAAACCTCCAGTTTTCAAAAAAATCTGTATGCATATACTTTATATTTTATAATGAATTGTTGACTCTGAAATACGTGGCTGATCTGTTTGCTTGAAGTCAGTACAATAGTCAGTTGTCTTTTGGGATAATTTACCTAACTTTAAATCTATAGTGTTACTTTACGTCGATATTGTTAGGCAATATTATTAATATATTTAGGTGAAAGAAAATAGCTTCTGGTGACAACCTTAAGAGTACTAATATAACAAATGCTAAAAAAAAATTTTAAAAAAACATTTGCTCTGTAAATGATTGGCATTTCTAATGTTACGTTTACACTCTTGTTTTTAACCTTTTACGTTATATTGTAGATCTTTTCCTCAGCTCATGAGGGTTACAGCTAACACTTTGTAGGATTGTGAGAATTTGTTCTGAAGTATTCTTTTAACAATTCAAGGGCCCCAAAATTCTAGCATTGGTTCTGTAGCAACCCGTTTGTTTGTGCTTTCTACTCCACCTGGAATTCTCTTTGTTTTAGCAGGACAGGGACAAGGAAGGCAGAGGTAAAAACAGACATGTCTTTAAATTTAAACCGGTCACTCTTCAAAAAAAGCAAATCTTGGTTATCCTTAAAAATATATGTTTCAAGGATAACAAAGATTGTTTCAAACCATGTTTGAAATGAATATTATAAATGTTAACATTTCATCAAAAATCAGTGAGAAGTAAGATGCACAATGCTTTGAGAAATTAGTGAAATTAGAGAGATGTAATTTGATTGTGAAATGGCTATCCTTTCAACTGTATGGGAAGATTGCATCTGTGCCTGATCATCTGCAAAACAAAACATTGCAAAAGGATACCTCACAAATTTAGCTTGAATTATTAGTTAATGTGTTTCGTATAGTTCTGATTGAAATGATAGAAAAGGCAATAATGAGTAAAGTTTGGGAAGTACATCATTGCATTAGCCAGGCATAATACAAAAACCAGGTTTTTTTCAATTAATCACAAGAAATGTATAATGTGTGATTAATTTGTGGAAAAAGTTTATTTTATGTTTATTTTTTGCTTTAGAGCAAATATATGATAAAGGAAATACTGTATGCTGGACTATGGAACATTTTACGTGTATATGGAGCTCATTGTTGCTGAATGAAATAAGTACATGATTGAAATAAAGGCACTGTGAGACTAATTGTTTCACCGATGGTTGAACATTAAATAGGAGCTAAGACAAAGATACACAGGCAGTCCTTGTTTAGCAACTACCTTGTTTAGAGATTCCTCACAGTTACAATACTGAAAAAATTACTTTACAACCAATCCTTGCATTTACAAACTTCATAGGTCTTTAAAGCAAATGAAAACTGAAGTAGGATCGTAAGCAGAGTTACAGTTTCATTTAGCAATCGCTTTACTTAATAACTAAGTTGCCAGTCTTAATTATGGTCGCTAAATGAGGACTACCTATATGATGTCCCCTTATTTAATTTATTCATAGATAAATGTACAAGGAATACTTGTGATAATGTTACACATATATTGTTTGGAATTATTAAAATGCATGTCCTTTGTTATGCATACAATGCCATTTATTGGTTGAGATCCTGATTCATTTGCAGCGAATGTCAGATTGTATTATGCAATGAGTACATATCTGGACGTTATTGCATCAAACATCAAGGTAGTTGTGCTTGACAATGAAAATGCAATGAACAATTGCAAATCATGTATAAATGGTGAAAAAACAGAGCAAGTAGGTGACTTTATATACTTTGGTGGATAGTTTCTTAAAGATGGGAAATGGATGGAGAAAATTTAAGATATGGAGGATGTGGTCTGTTACAAAGAATGGATGTTTGTTGAAAAATCTGAAAATGGTTATGTATGGGAAAGTGCCCACTTTGTTAAATGAAAATTTAGTGAAAATTGCATATCAGGAGAAACGTAAAAACACTAGGAATGGATAGTTTAAGAAGAAGGGATTGACTTATTTTCCAAAACACCAGAGGGCAGGGCAAGAAGTAATGGGTGGAAGCTTGTTAAAGAGAGATTCAACCTAGCAAGAGAAACTTTTGACAGTGAGAACAATTAATGAATGGAATAGTTTGCCTCCCAGAGTTGTAAGTGCTCCATCACTGAAGGTTTTCAATAATGGACTCACAACAATTTGATCAAAATGGTATAAGGTCTCTTGCCTTGAGCAAGGGACTGATCTCTATGTTTTTAATTTTTTTTGCTTACCATTGCCTACTTTTTATGGCATTTGCATAATGTGGCTAAAGAAGATCATACAATAGATAAGTTTTCCTTCTGATAAATGTTTAGTGATTGGCCATACTCACATAGTAAACAGTTACCAAGAATGCTCATTTCATGCTCTCATAACTCCAAATCTGCATTCCAGCCTAAAATAATGGCGACCTGGTGCTACAAATGCAGTAAACAAAGTACAGCAATTTATTCTTCAGTTTCTTTTGATTTTTTGTTACGTGATAAACATCATTTCACAATAATTGTCTGCCAAGGCAAACTAGGCAAGACAAAAGTAACTAAAAGCAAAAAAAGTAACTCATTTTACTTCTGGCGTATGCAAACTGAGACTATTTCATGTATGCTCGCTCAAAAAACAATGGTTAAAGTAAACAACTGGTAAATATTTAATTGAATTGAATTTATTCAATTTGATATGGTTGCTATTGGAAGAATTTCTTCACTATTGTTTGTTTTTGCTCAGGTCAAAACAACAAAAGTCTTTATCCAGAGTTCAAAATTTAATTAGCATCCAAGGCTAAAGTGTTAAATGTGGCCAGCCCCTTGCAAGGGTGCAAAGTCATTTTATAGTCAGATGTAAACAGCTAATCTGTGGGTATTTAGTTCCAAAATTTTCAAACTGTAGTTGTCTGTATTCTGGATACTTTATAGAACTTTGTCTTCTCCAGGATTGTTTATGCAAAATAGTAATTCATTCCAGTATCAAGTAAAAATATATTTTTATGGATTGAGTTTTTATTGAAAGTGTATTTTAATTGCTTAATTCTGAATTTTGATGTAATGTTTTGTGTCTCTAAGTTGCGGGAGATGTCTGCACAAACATGCACCATCTACACTTGGCAAGGAACAACACATTTCTGAGACTTTATTACAGTACATGCTGTACTGCTGATTTAAACCTATTTTCATGATGTGTTGTTGTGTGCCCCAGCTGAGATTCCAGATTGATTCCACACAACACCACTGTTGCTTATGGCATAAATGTATTTCAACTTTACCTCCTCTAGAAGTAAAATCCAATTATGAACTGGAAAGATTGAAGTAAAGAAGGAAATATAATTATGCCAAAGGATCTGAAAGCTAGCTGAATTGTGAAAATATTTTTTCAAAAGGTACATCAAGCAAGTGATGTATCTTAAGATGATTGTAACTGGGGCAAAAGTTCAATAAGCATAACGGTTCAACAGAAATTTGAATTCAAAATTTTCTCATTCAGATATAGCACTGTGACTAGTACTCCAGCTTTCTCCAGTCTGATAAGCCACAGTGTAGTGGGATGGTTTCTGATTTCTTTGTTACTATGTATCCAAATATGTTTCATACTTTTTTCTGTTAAGGATGTCCTCCTCCAATAACAATTCCTTACATCCCTTATCTCATATGACACATCTATTGTCAGACTGCGTCTAGGCATAGATTGTAAGCTGTTAAGTAATGTACACTTATTTAAGATAATTAACAGCTGTTTTTCTCTCCTTTCCCCATCCTTGTTGTTTTTCTTCTCTCCCTCTTTTTTTGGCCGGTATCTCCACTCTCTACATTTTCTGTTTCTCCTTCCTTTTTTTCTTGTTCTTATTGGTTCTCTGCCCCTTGCTTTTCCATGTAATTTAGGAACAGGGCACTTATCAGAGGAGCCACAGGAACAATCTTGTGGTGTGGGAATCCTAAGAAAAGTGCTCCCACACTGTGGGGTAATTTGATCAGTGGTGGGACTATCTCAGAGAATTCAGGACAATTGTAAGCCATATAATCTTATGTTTGGCAAATTTGAATGAATTGGGTCTTGGATGAGAAGGAGTGTTTTGCACTGGACTTCAATTCCTTTAACCCAAGCACGCTAGAATGGTGATAGTGCTTCTGGTGTCTATAGCTGTTTCATATTATTAAAATGTGAACATTGCAGATGCCTGCATTTTGTCTTTTACTAACACTTGAATTATATGCTATGCCTGCAGCATCTGTTTGTTTGATCTGCATGACTGAATGGATCAGTAGTTTGTATCACAGTTAATATAATAAGGACCTTTAAACAGAATGTTAAATATATCAGCAAAATACAAGTCTTTTTCTTCCTTCTCCCTAAAAGCATGACTGCAGTGAATTTTTATTTTTTGGCAAGTGTGCCATAAATCTGTACCTCTCAGAGTATATGTAACCCTACTCAATGCTATGGCATGGTTTTGCCTCTAACCAATTGTGCTGGGAAGCCAGGCATTTTGAGAAACACCCAAGTGCATTATTGCCAACTCCTACTGTAAGTCTTCCTGTTTCATTTCAGGAGCGGTCCAGATTGTCTATATTTGGTTCATTTGTAAAATGCATAATAATTACATTATCATCAGAGACTATACAATGTCTTATGTTATTA